GGGGGGGGGGGGTCCCCGTCAATCTCACACACCTGTTCAATTAAGTGATGAGTTCAAGTGCCCTCGTAAAGCTCACAACTCAGACAAACTGAGCAGTGAGGCGTGTCCCACCGAACCTGATGAAACATTAACGGTTTGTAAAAAGCACCTGAAGGCATCACGGAGGAGTGGAGGAAAGTGGGCGGAGCCTCGAACGGCACACATACCTGTGTTGGTCTGAACAGGTAGAAGAAGCTTCGACTCAGCAGAAGGTAAAAAACAACAAATGACTGGATTTTAATTTTCATACAGTTTAAAAACMGTCAGTTTGTGTTGAATCCTGAGCTCTGTTGGGAGTTTTTAACATTTTAAAGATAACTTTTAACTTCAAACCTGATAAATCTCAGATCTTAAAGTTGATAAAGTTTAACTTTTAGTTTTTTGCTCTTTAGTCCTAAAGAAAATCATGTTTTATCATCATGATGAAATGAATATTAAATTTAAAATGTGTGACATGTGGTCAGATTAGACATGAAACAGTCAAAAGACTAAAATAAAAAGAGTGTCTGCTGCTAGCTAAAAGTATAAAAGTAGCTACAAATAAAACACACTGGAAAAAGTAAACAATGCAAAATGTAAAAAGTAGCAGAACACTAGTTAAAATCTAACTGTAATACTGTATATTTGGGTTCTTGTTCAGTAACGTTCTTGAAGAAGCGACACAGACACCACTGTAGATCCTGTGATATTTTATTTTGACAACTATGACAACATAGCATCACAACCTTTTTCAATTTTTCAATTTCAATTCAAAACATTTATTCATTAAAAACAAAATAACTATATACAATAGAAACTAAGAGAATTCACAAATCAAAAAATTAAAATAAAATGAAAGGTAGCAGAAGAAAAATTAATCTTATAATGTCTGCCTCTTTTATCGCCAATATATTTTCAAAGAAAAGACAATTTACAAAACAATACTAAATAAAAATAAAGATAAAACCATCAACTCTTCATCAACCTTATYTGCACTGTTAGTATCAGTAACACTACTAACATCCCCAAGGAATAGTCTGCCTAGAACTGGCATTACCATTTAATACATCTCATTATATTACAATCCTTCCGTTTTTTTCATACAAATAACTCAATGCAAAACAGCATCAAAAACTGACATAAACAACTATCAGAATGAAATGAAACATCTATTCCCTTGAACAACTTTTTTATATTTTTAAATTTTTTTAGGAATAGTTCCAGTCTTTATGTGTAAACCCAAAAACATCACTTTATTTTATACACTAACAAGGAAGAGGTCTGACTCCCCTACCCTTGTAAATCAAACCCAAGGGATTATTCTGCCCTATTTTATGGGTTTGAGTCCTGTGTCAGTCTTTAAAACGTGCAGGTTTCTTGTCCACCTGTCGTGGACAACGTCTCATGGTTGGACTGTGGGACTTGACAGGTGTAGACAGATGTCCTGAGTTTGATCTCCACTTTGTGGTGGTGGACATGGTGTAAGACTCAGTGATGGTATGACCTGCTTCATCAAACCTGAGCTGGTGTCCTCTGTCTGTACTTCTGGAGCATACGTAGACTCCAGCGTAGACTCCAGCGTAGACCCCAGCGTAGACTCCAGCTTAGACTCCAGCGTAGACTCCAGCTTAGACTCCAGCTTAGACTCCAGCGTAGACTCCAGCGTAGACTCCAGCGTAGACTCCAGCGTAGACTCCAGCGTAGACTCCAGCGTAGACTCCAGC